CCCTGGGTACTGCGTGARACTGCACAATAAATGAGTGTTGTTGTAACTTAAACAGATACTGACTCTTTGGAGACATGAAAATAAAAATGTTCTGGCATTAAAATGTAGCCCTGACAGGTCTATTACACTCTTCACAAAGTCTGATCGTTTTCTGCTAGCAGTAGCTCTCTTAAAAATTAATGATGCATACTTTCTATGCTATCTCATTACCGATGCACAACTCAGTAGGTTCAGATGAGATTCCAGCTAGGCGGGTTCTCCGTCAGGAGGGTGCATTCCCCCTCAGTGGGGAATGGGCTTAGTTCACCAAAAAACTTTCCTTCTCTSTGTCTTTTTCTGTTTAATCTACAGAGACTTTCTTTGAGATCTCTGTTCTCCTTTCCAGTTGTCAATATGACTGCTTTAGATCTCCATCTTAAGTTTAAAATTCCATATAATAGCATAAAAATAATTATTTTTTAACTGACGTTTGGAAAAAAAAATCTCAGAAGAAATCTTCTTCTATAGCACCTGTTTTTTATTAATATTTGAAAATATCCCAGCAGATGAGAACTTTTCTCATAAAGTTGCAAAAGTTAAAGTATTCAGAGTACTGAAACTCCCAGCATAATTTTTATGACAAATTCCCTCAGGCTTGTTATCACTGACTAACAATGCAGCAAATAAGTAGCTTCTAGCCTTTMAAATTAACTCATTAGAAATTAATTAGTATCTGCATTATCATATATCAAATATGCAAACAAAATTTCTAAAGTAGTATCTCTGTGATTTAACTCCTTGCCCACTCCCACTCAACTGAATCCCTTCAGCCCAAAAAAAAGGCTGGGAAAGAAGGTAAAATTGGCATTGTGGATGAAAGAATGACAGATCTGACAGTGCCAGGGGAATGCAGGGCACGAGGGAATGCAGTTCAGCGCCCCTCACCCACCTCATATTTCAGGAGATGCATGCATGCCAATGGCCAAGGGATGTGTGCTTATCCAGTATTCCCAGTACGTATGRAATCCCAAAACTGGTGTTGTTTTTCCCTTTACATATGAATGGTGGCTCACACAGTGTGCACTTACACTGCTAACATCAATTGACTCATCTCTAAATGAGAACTAATGAATATGTATGATTAATACCAAGCTGGGCTGGCCRGGTGCCCAGGTATTGGGAGATATGTGTTTTCCATTACTGGAATGCATTTACTTTCACTGATGGGCAGAATCTGGATTTTATTGTTATTCTTTCTAAATTAAAAAAACCTGCAGAGGCAGAATATTCAACTAGTACTACTAGACTGAAAAATAATAACCCAGGACAATGTGCTGACTTTGGGTGGCATTTTAGAGAGGGCATTCCTACAGAAGCTGCAAAATCTACAATGAAAAGCTTTTGTCAGCCTTCAAAGCATCCTAACTCTCAGAAAACATAAACTTATGGAACTTTAAGCCTTTTTTAGGTCTTTCTTGCAATACAAGGATCACTACAGAATTTTCCTGATTAACAAATGTTTGAATTTACACATATTTCAGTACTTTACAGTGCTGGCCACATACATTAAAACTGCACAATAAGATACAGAATGTTATCTGCATTACCATTTTAATTCTTTTTAATCCATTTTAATTCTTCCCATACTACTTTCTATTGTATGGATGAAAAATAAATTGAGTCAATTTTCTGATGTTTTTATTTTGAAGATTAAGAACTACATGTAATAATTTTGAATTATGATTTACCATCCTTTTTTTTTTCCCTCCTTAGCAAAGGTTTAATTTAGTTTCATTTACCTCATGTGCTTTGAAATATCCCAGAGATGTGAAGCTCCAGTTGCAATAAAAATATTTCTGCTGCATAATGTAATAAAAAAGGTGACATAAAAATTTAAATAGATACCTTTCTTTTTTGGATGTACAGACACAGGGATTTCTGGCTTTCACCTCCCAGGAGAATAACCCTTATTTTTATTCAGGAAAACACTTTGGCACTGAGCAGTTTTAGCTTATTTTATAGAATCATAGAATGTTTTAGGTTGGGATTATAAAGATCACCTTGTTTCAATCCCTGTGTCATGGGCAGGGACACTTTCTGCTAGGTCAGGTTGCTCAGGACCCCATCCAATATCCTTGAAGAYTTGCAGGGATGGGGTACCCACAGCTTTTCTGGGCAGCCCATTCCAGTGTCTCACCACCCTCACAATGAAGAATTTCCTCCTGACATCTGATCCAAACCTGCCTCTTTCAGTTTAAYGCCATTACTCTATGTTCTATCGCTTTGTGCCCTTGTCAAGAGTCCCTCTCTGACTCTCTTGTACCCTTTAGCTGCTGTGAGGTGTCCCCAGAGCCTTCTCTTCTCCAGGCTAAATAACTGCACCTCTCTCAGCCTGTCTTCATAGCAGAGATGCTCCAGAGCTCTGATCCTCTTTGGGACTCTACTCTGGACTCCTTCAAAACGTTCCCTTGCTTCTTGTGCTGTAGGCCCAGAGAYGTAKGCAGCACTCCAGKTGGGGTCTCATGAGAGYGGAATAGAGGGGGAGAATCCCCTCCCTCATCCTGCTGGTCACCATTCCCTGGTACTCACCAGCAACTGAGACAGGCGGCCAACTGCCTTGCAAGACAAATGTTCATTCTTGCCAAAATCTGTGCTGTGATACCATGCATAATTAAGGGAAATGCATTTGACTGGGCTGTGGAAGCTGAGAAGCACAGCAACACAGTGCTGTAACAACACATTTTGTGTTTATTTATGTTAAAAGTTCARTTTTGGATCATCCACTCAGGTACCCCTTCCAACACCCAGCCACCTGCACATGCAGTGCACAGACCAGTGTTGGGAGAGGTGGATGGTGGCACATACAGAGGTTTTACCTTCACTACTGAGTTGGCACCATCCAAGATTTCACACCATAACCATGCTGCAATCTGTAGCTATCAGCACWCTTCGCTTACTGTTGATTTATTTAGATAGCAGTTCATGGTTTAATAGTATTTAATTAAGCTCAGCACAACTAAAATCWGCTAAACTTTGGCAGCTGCTGTCATTTTAAATCGAATTTTGTATTTTGGACAAGGGAATCAGGGAAACAAGATGAAAATTATCCCTCATGCACCATCCCCCCCCACTTCTTGGCAACAGGGAACTACCAAACACTGCTGCCCAATCTGAACTGTCTGTACTATAACAACATTTTTCACATTACATACACTCAGCACATTTTTAAATATCTCTAATGAATGTCTGTGTATGTATGTGCATATTCACATATGTGCTCTGAGACATACATTATGTGTGCATCTATTTAGATATAATTTTACGTAGATATTTAGTTGTTATAATGGAATGAAACTGTTTCTYTGAAAGTGATTATTTAGTCCCATACAAAGAGCTTCCTGCAAGAAGATCAGACATATTAGCCTTCAATACTTTTGAATTTTTCCCTCTGGAAAAAGCTTAAATCTCTCTTACATATTGGGTTAAATAAAGAATTTGTTGTCACTATTTTAAACAATAAAAATGTTTGCAAGAAGCTATGTGTGTTCCTGGTGGACCTGTAAACTCTTTGAAAACAATTTTCACATATTTTCCAGCAAAGTTGGACTGCCTTGTTCCAGATTCTAATRCTACCCTGGGGGGATTAGGATGTTCAGAGTTTGCACTGAGTTCTGCACGCATCCCAGGGAAAACAGATTTGCTCATCCTGGCTGCAAATTTTTAGGTGAGAGGTTGAGCTGCTGCTCTGTGCTGTCCATGGGTCAGCAGAACCACGCAGATTTACAAAGAGACAGAAAACACTGTATGGTTTTCAGGGCTGGGATGTTTTTSTGAACTAGTTTAGGAGATGCCACAATTCCTCAGAACCTGTGTGAAGGTTGATGCAATAAAACTTGCAGCCCAAATTTCTTAAGGTGCTGTACTTACTAAGTTACTTTGTGATATGGTGACATAGTAATTCCCGAGATCTTAATCTGACTATTTTTAAGCCATTTGCTCTGAACAACAAGCTGGTAGGAAGCTGGCATCAAAGGAACTGAACAGAAAGCTTCGCTGCACTTATAAGCACCTATAAAATAAACTGTAAACTTTTAAATTGAGATTTGACAGAGGGCTTGAGCATATGCCAATTAAAATTACATAAAAATTCCCTCTGGCTTACATCTGTGAAGACGAGGGAGGATAAGACCAGTGTCAACTTAGGAATATATGTGAGGAAAGATCACTCTTTGGAAATGCATATTTATTAAATATTGTGCACTCATTGTGAATACTTCAACTCAAATATTTGCTGAATCCTCTAACAGAGAGGCCAAAGAAAGCTTTGGCAGATGTAAATCTGAATTGACTTAGATATAGAATCAAATTATTTGAGAACTGATAGAAAAGCTATAAAACACTTTTAAACCCCTCAGATGTCAGTGGGCAGGTGATAGTTTCTGACAGTTGACCTTTTCACCAGTTACTCAAACCTGAGGATTTTTTAACCTTTTACATTTTCCCTTGTTCCTGATGTACATTTATATACTTTGGAGCCAGTGGAGGCATCTGTTTCTTTAATCATGAGAAACCAAGCCTGTAGACATCACATGTGGAGGCTCCAGGTGATCCTGGATGTTGAGGGCTCCTGTGCTTTGACAGGTTCTGGCACCTGCCAGAAGTGAGGGTATTCTGCCCAGTTAGTAAATGCTGATTAAAAGCAGAAACAGGGGTAGGCTCTTACAGCCCATCCATATAAACAGTGAAGAGTAAGGCAGCAGCCAAGGTCCCTTCAGGATTGCCAAATCCTCCCAAGGCACTCACAACACCAATCCTTCCTTCCCACTACGGGCATTTCCACCACCATCACTCCTGCAGCCAACACAGTTCACTCACTATCAACACCTTCACACACATTTACAAGGARTGGGTGGGGTGGAGTAACAGAGTTCTCCCCCACAGTTTAGATCRGGAAGGAATTGGCAATTTAACACAGATGAGCAACTCAGTAGTTTATTTCAATGGAACACATTGTATCTGAGATAATTTTTCTGTATTTTGAGTATTATAACATATAGCACAAAATTACATAAACATTTAAAAATGCAAGAATAATGCAAAATTGCTTCTGTAACACACGGCAAATGTTGGTAACTGGCAGCAGTTTAAAAGCAGCAATAGGAAGCAGATCAGATAAAGCACTAATTTATTTTGCATGGTAGAAATGCAACTACTMTACAGGCTTTTCCATGTTGTAAGACAAGAGAATGATCAGTTATAGAGTCAAATCTATGAAAGGWAACTAAACCACAGCATTTGAAAAGTAGCCTTGTATACCAATTTCCAGACAAAATGTAAATATAATTTGATTTCTTGCAGAGCACATTGCTCTAACTTCTTTCAGTATTTGTCTTGTATTTTTTGTATTCCGTATGAGAAAACGGCATGTTGTTGAAGAGCTCACTTCCTTTTAAACACTGTCACCCTGAAATTAGAGCTATGTTGACAGTCACCATTTGAGAGAAAACAAAACAAAGCAAAAGTTGTCATAATAATAGGACAAAATCCAGCTTTGAAGAATGAGGCAAACAGAAACACAGCTATTGAAATATAAACCTAAAAAAAGTTTTCACAAAGCGCAGAAAGTCGCATTGCATTAATTCTTTTAGAAAAAAGTATTTGCAAATATATGTCCAAAACAAGYGTTAAGCTACAGTTTGAATAGTTGAATCTAGGAGCTAATGTGACATTTGATTCCTTTCTTCCAGGTAACACAATAATATTCACTTCAAAGCAGTGATTATGAAACAACAACCATATATTATGTGAATATCTTTATATCTGCACCTTGAAGTAGGTCACTGATGACACCCTTATGGCAATAAAATTACTCAAAGGGCAASTACAGGTTATTTTTGAACTCCTGAAGAATGGTATTGTCAATTAGAATTCAAAAATCTTTTACAGAGCAGTTTCATATCTGAAAAGTCATCAAAATTACAACAAGAATTAATGAAGCTTGAGTCAAATCCAGCCTTTAAATTATTCCTCTAGGAATAAAATTGTTTATTTTCAAACCATTTGACTTGAGAAGGAAAACTTATTTAGGAATTTTTTACTGTTGAAATGAACTGGCCCAGACATTGTAGCAAAGAATTAAATATTATATCTTTAGAAACCCAACTAGAAACAACAAAATAATTTGGAAGAATGATTAACTGTGTGAGCAAGTAGCAGGACAGACATAATGTGATTCAAAACCTAAACAATTTAGTTATATTTTCRAATGCATTAGAGGCTTATTAACCTGAACTGTCTGAAGAAGCTGATGATACATGGATTCACTTGACTGTATTTAACCCTCAATTTTTCATCCAGAAACAGCTACCAGTGACAAACAGCAAAATACACAAAGCTCAGAGATCCTCAAGTATGTTACTGCCCTCTTGGGAACCTGAATGGAGGAAAACAGAAAAAGTTTACATCATAGAAGAAACCAAAAGACAACTGAGAACTCTATGACTAATATGGAGGGAAAAAATATTGCTCTACTCCCACATCTGTCTTTGTATTCTGTTTACAAAGTTTGGGTTTGGGGAATTCAAGCTAAATGATCAAATTAACTCTGCATTTTTATACAGAACAAGAAGGAATTCTCTCCATGATAAATCGGCAGAACTATGCAYAGATTTATCCCTTCTCTTGAATCTGGGTTTTTAAATTAAAAGTCCTAAAAATATCACAATCACTTGTGGTGCTGGAAGAAGGAACTTCTGTTGCAGAAGTCTATTCACAGCTTCCTAACCTGCTGAGGTCAGGCAGCTGAACCACTTCCTTAACTCGACAAGAAAGTAAGAGACAAAATCTTAAGAAACTATTCTTTAACACTTATAAACGGTCAACCATGCAATAAATTAACTCCTAGCCCGAAATAATCCTGGGGCAATGGAAAATAGGATAACAGCAAAAATTTTACAATAGCAACTGTTTTTTGGAATATGTCTCAAGTACTTAGGTACCAAAATCCTACTGGCGCAAACAGTCCAGAGGTTATTTCTGCTACTAGATTTGATTAGGAAATTTTCCCCCATCATAAAAGAAATTGCTTTTTCATTGTAAGATTGAACATTTTTAGAATATTTTTTCAATGAAGCCAGCTATTTTCACCACATAGAAAAGATAATATTTTAGCCTACTATTTCACATCAATAAAGTGTTTGAAAAGTGGTTTTGTTGCAATTTCTGTAGAACAGCCTTCAAGATAAGTTCCTAAATGTTGGCTGTAGGGATACACCTCTTAGAAGAAACAGTCCAATAAATCTCAGACCAAATCTGCTGAGAATTTTTATATAATTCTAATTGTGTGGACCTCCTATCATATTCTTATGTTCACACCATATCCTTACAGCAATGGCAGGAAATAGTTTCAGGTGAAATACTACTGTTATTACTTTATATGATGAATTTGTATCTTCTCATTTGCTAAATGAATTTTGGCAGCTGAACCCAAAAGTCAGTATCTCACTGCAACACAGGAGCAGAACAACAGGACGAGTTTTGCAGATCAGTGGAAAAAGTTTGGGACCTTCAGTGCTGGCATTTTTAATATGTCTGTTCTTCCACCAACACTTGCAATGATGCAAATGCTTCTTTTAAAACATCTTTCTGCAGCAGTATATGCTGTCCTTTGGAAGCTTTGCTCTTCTGATTGGTCTTACATAACAAATTTCCCTTTCCCAGTATGTTTTGACCTTGAATATGATAGGATGACTTCCATTAATAAAGAACTATGCACAGACACTCTTAGTATCAGAATCAAATGTTCAGCTCCTCAAAATGTTAAATACTTCTCTCCTGTTGCTTTATTAATACACTCAAACAAAACAAAGAAAAAAAATTAGGATTATGCTGTGATTTCCTGGACAAGTCAMGAGGTTGTGGAACTTTGCACATAAGTCATAAAAACCAACCCTTTTTGCAAAATAGTTGTAAAAAATGTTTTTATTGTCATGAATTATAGAACAAAGTCCTTCCTGCTGACTACATCACTGAATTCCAATCTAAGGACTTCTCACACATAAATTTTGCTACACAGTAAATTTGAAAACTTACAAGTAATTCCCAAGTGTTCAAATGAAAACATGCACTCTGAATGCATGTTTAGTAATACATAATAAAGGAATGTAGAGCAAAGCTTTTCAGAATCAAAACTGTAGGCACAGATCCAACAGCAGAAGTTGTTTTAGCTCAGCTTTCTTTTAAAATCACCAACACCAATGAAGAACCCCTACCAGTGCAATTCTTGGAAATCATACTTTAAACACTACATGGAAGACACTTTTCTCTCCAGGGTTTAAGCATTGTCTACCMTGATCAACTTGATCCTGTGGCATTTAACTCTTAAATAAAAAAAAAAAATCAGAGTAACAAAAAGTAAAGTTCTGACCATTTGAAGAGACACCACTTCTGCTCATCAGTCCTCAGTGAAAATCACAGACTCTGGAACTATGTGCTTTGGAACTATCTGTGCTGATCACTAAAATAGATCACCTCTGAAGAAGGACCATGCCTGAACTGCCTGGATGAAGCAGGGGAGATGAAACACTAGAGCCAGGGACAAAATATGCTGAATACCAAAGTATAAAGGCTATAGATGGAAAGTTTCCATCCACAAAATGGTCTTTTTTAGGAAAAGCAGCCAACTGATATATATGTTCACTGGAAGAAATATATCCAAATAAGGAAAAGAAGGACATAAAGTGCATCTCTGAGACAAAATGCACATTTGGCTACTTGTTACCACTCCCATTGAATCTAAACAGCCAGGTTAAAAGTTGTAGTTTATATCTTGCTTCTTTCTTGCTCAATTTTTCTATTTGCTTTGTATAATAGACATTTTTGTGCTGTTCTGTCTGTGTGACCATCTTGCTTACATCAATATTTTCTTCAGAATAAATATACTCCTATTTATTTCTGAAACGGTTAACTGTATAGGCTACTCTTTCCTGCATGTTTTACAACTGATAACGTATGATAGGCATTTGGTCCTTAAATCTAGTGAGGTTCTTATGCTATATCCTAATGTTCTATCCCTAATATTCAAAGGAATGTTCACAGGACAAGCTTGTTTTCTCCTGCAAAACTATTACTGACAACCACCCACAATGTGGCTTGAAATATCTTGTCACAAAACTAAATTTATTCAGTTTGTATGACAGACAGTTTTGTCCTTTGATTAGATCTCAGCAACACAAATGCATTTAGCCACCTCATTTCATGTAACAGTATCAAATAATATACACAGCTCCACTTTAATGGTTTATGGTTTTAACTTCAGCTCAGATTCAAACAAAACTTTGAAGCCCAAAACCGARATTTATTTCTGTTTGAGAGAAAAATGAGCCAATTAAAATACAAATTTTACCAAACTCGAAGTTCTAGTACGTAAAAAATGCCTTTATTTTAGCATTGCTTGTTTCACAAAAAAAAGGCAAAGCTTTATTTGCTAGTGTCCAATGAAACAGCTTTTGTTATTTCATGAGTTTGCTCTAGAAGCTATTGCTTTAGTAAAGTGATTCCTTTGTAGATAGCTGATGTTGTCATCATGATCCAAAAGCATAGGAACTATTAGAGATGTGATATTATTTTAATAAAAGAAAAACACTTAAGATTTGTAATAAACGTACCCAGAGTTTTCTTTCAATACTCCAGAACATCTYAGGTAGAAGGTTTACTTCTTTTGGTTCTCTTTAACTTTGAATAACYTTCTTCTTTCTGTTCAGAAAAACAASACCAACAGAAAGAACTAAARCCAGTAAAGGAAATGAAGCAGCAAWACTAAGCTAACTTCAACTAAAAATGTTGTTTCTGAGTAAAATGCTTAGTTGAATAAAAAGTTATTAATAAAAGTTTCTATTTCCCAATATAAATAATTTAAAGCACGTTTGTAAGTACAGTGGCTAAATGATTAAGATCACAGCTACTTTGAAAATACCCTTTACAGGCTAGCAACCATGACTTTCAAAACCAACTGATCATTTTTGAGATCATGACAAAGGCTTACTTTTCAGAGACGTGTTTAGCAATGTCCCCAGTTAGCACTATTGTATTTTAATCTGGAGACAGGAGGAATCACCCTCATAAGCATCAGAAAATCCATCCCTACCTCATTTAACAGACATTWATTCTCTTTCCTATTCCTGACACACCATTGAAACTTCCCAAGCTGTACACCCACCACCCCTGAGCCCAGCAGTGGCAGCACTGCACTGGCAGTGTGGCACCGAGAATTTGCTGTCTCCTGACACTTCCCAGAAGAATCTTGCAGGGCTCAGGCAGGTACCTGTGCTACTCACAGCCTGCTTGGAGAGTGAGAAATGCATGAGCCACTTATCACTCCTAACTAGGACAGGACAGTGCCCCTTCCCCATTCCAGCAGTGCTGCAGACCAGCTACAAGTTCTCCATGCTCASGAGCCCTGGTGYGTCTGGGTCATTCCCACTGGCAGGWAAAKKACTTCAGCACTAATTCATATTGTGGTGGAAGTCTCCCTTCTGTACCCAGACCCTGGCGTTGTTATTCCTAGTTGCTCAGTTGCCACAGTTATTTTTAGCTGCTGGTTTTCTTCTCTTTGTGAGAATGACTCTACTGTGGAGTGCTGGGCCTGTAACCAGCGACTCTGTTGTGGCCCTGTGGAAGGGCCTTTCCCAGCTGCACTTGGATGGGGCCAGCTCAGAGCAGCTGGGCTGGTGCTTCCCACACAAACTCTTCTCTTCCCTGCTGCAGCTCAAGCTCTGGGGTGAGTGTGTTCCTCCAGCAGGCCCCTGGGGTTGCTGCAAGGGCCTTTTCTGAACTGCGCGCACGGAGAGCACGGACTGTGTTCTTTTAATTATAGTTAAAACTTCCAGAATTGTCTTGCATTTGGCTTTAAAAACGTAACAAAACATTGTTTCTACGGAATGTTGAAATTCAAGCCCTTTAGATGAGAAACTCACTGAGACACTGAGAATGCCCAGAGTTATACTGGGCAGGATAAAAATATTTTCTGTAGAATCAGAAAATCTGCTTCASAAACAGTAACATCATAAAACATTTCAGTAGTATCTTTTGCCGAAGACAAATATTTAAAATTAATTCTCMAAGTGACAGTATCATAAGTTAATATTAATTTTATCCTAGTTAAGGTTCATTTTATCCAGAGCAGGMTCAATAAGCTTTCATAGTTTGCCTATTTCAACTGGAATGTGCTAAAAAGCTTGAAATATCTTTTTCMTCTCTTAAATCAGGTCCTTCTGGATTGGATTAAAGGGTGTATGTGTGTGGGATGTTTACCTGTCTTTTTCTGGCACAAGCTTTCTTTGCAGATGATTCCACGTTGCTCTCCTTGACTAGCAAAGTCAGGTCTGAGGTCAGTGTTTCACATGTCAGATACTTGTTCCCTGTAAACATCTTGAAGTATAAAAGTTTACACCTTCATTAGCAAAAAAAGCCCACAACATTTTGAAGAAGTTTTCTAACTGTTAAAATTACCTGCTTTTTCAAAAGGTGCCCTCATCACATAAAGCTAACTTGCCAAATTATATTTTATAGATGCAAAAAGTGATAAGCACAAGACATTTCATCCATCTGCCCTACATATGGGATATTATCCCCTAAAAATTGCACTGAAATCAGCTCAACTATCCATTTAAYTGAAATGCAGGGAGAATCACAGAAAATTTAGGCTGTAAAGTACTTCTAGCTGTCATGTAATTGTAACTTTTACTCAAAACAGAGCTAACTTCAAAGACAGGTCACCTTGCTTTGGGCCCCATTCAGTCAGCTTTGAGAATCTGAAACAAACTCAAAAAATCTCTCTATGCAACTTGTTCTAGTAGCTGGCCATTCTCATGCTGAAGAGTTTTTCCTCATGTCCAGTGGGGTTTTTTTACAGTGCAATTTTGCTTTTTGTGAAATTGTAATTAAACTTGAATTTGCAAAACTTTCATGTTTGTCTAGCAGCCCAATGCCTTACAAACAACTGCTATCAGCACTACGCAAGTTATGAGGTTTGAGATTCCTTTCAGGAAGAAGGAATTATTCCATTAACATTGTTTTATAAGAAGAGGGATTAAATATTAAAAAAATGTCACTAGGTTAACCTTACACAGACCTTGATAAACTTCTTAAACAAAGGAAAACTAGCTGCCCCACCATAAAAGTCCCCAATAAAAGAAGTGTGTATTTCACAAAACATAGTAAATCATCTTCCCTTTCTGCAAAAAAAAAAAAAAAAAAAAAAGCAGCAGTGGCTGAAAACATTAAATTATATGGTAGAATTTTAGGAAACTATATTGAGAATGATGGTAGAACATGACGAAAGTCATGCTCTTTATTGCTTAATGTTGTTTTCGAATTTGTGAAAAGCAGTGAGAATGAGCCCTGTTCTTTACTGTACCTGTTCAAAGTTAGGTTTGGAATAATGACTGGTTGTCTCAGCAATACAGTACTTAAAGTGGCATGCTGCTTTGTTTTCTTCACTTTTGGCCATGCACACTGTATCTTTGAATACAGTCTCATGAATATTTAACCCAGCTCCTTTATTTGATCTCTTTGTTTGTTGCAGTGACAAACTGGAATTTGTCATTTCATTGTCTAATTTACCAATCTGCAAATGCACTTCTTTCGACTGGCATTGTTTCTCAAGAACTTGAGTAGTATTTTGACTTGCAAACTTTTTTCCCCTTCTTGCACTGGAAGYAGGAGATTCATATGTATTCAAACACAGACTGGTGTTTGTTTTCTGAAGCACTGGCCCAACATTCTTAAGAAAGAAGGGAGARTTTGCCTTTTTATGATTGACTTCACTTGGATTCCCACTTGAAGCTGAGTTTTCAGAAAAATCAGAATTAGCAGTTTGTCCATCAGTCTGGGTTTTCCATCGGAATACAGGTGTACCATGCTTTGCATGTGTCTTCGCGTTCTTTACCTGAAGCACTTTGCTATCAGTAGGATTTTTGACTGGCATATTTTGAATATGTTTGAAAATCTGAGTTATGCTGGGCTTGTGCACAGACAGTGTAGAAGATGGAACACCCACACTTTTTACTGGTGAATGTCTTTCAGCATTTTCACTTTTCTTCCTATCCGTTTGATTTGTGATCTTTCCATTCATTTGCATCAACTTTCCTTTGAAAATTGGTATAATTTTGCTGCCTTTGGTGGGGGTGGATTCAGAGGCTGAGTTTACAGATGTTCCTAAGGATTTTGCAGTTGGTAACTCTGGTACTCCTGGTATTTGCTTATCGCTCACTGATTTCTCTGCCGCTTCAATGCTAACCCCTCCTGTACTGTTACAGCTACTGGAAAAACTCTGCGTTCCTGGCTCTTTGATCAAACGCTCCATCCAGTGGCTGTTTTCCGTACTACATGGCGAAGGAATCCTAGGAGGCAGAGCCGGCTTTCCTGGAGGAGCCTGAGTTAGAGATACTRCACAAACCATCTCACCGTCTAATTTCGTATGCTTAGGTTTTATTTCCTGCAACACAACAAGAGTTGCTAAACTGAATGTACTGGATTTAAGATCTGATAGTGCCACCTAATGCTTCACTATATAATATCAACCTAATACACATCACAATATTTAAGCATAAAATTCTATGCTTTGAATTACAATGACTACATTTTAAAACAATATTTAGTTGTCATTATAAATTAAGGAGGTTTCRTCTCCCAATTCTTTGTTTATAAAATATGCTGAAATATCATATTTCTGAGAAGGAAAGACTTAAATTACAGTCATTATCTTGGTTTAGTGCTTTCCAACTGGATAATATCTACCCCTTTTAGGGAGGGTCTGCAGAGGGTTTGACTGACAGGGTTCCGCATTTCTTAAGACTTCTAAGAGCATCTGTATTCTGAGCAAAAGACAGTTTGAATGTCTACAAAAAATGTAGATGACACATASGGCCCATTTTAGCTTTGATCACTGAAGAGACATAAACAGGAACTGCTTTCTGAAAGAGGATTATAGTATTTTAGAACCTCTGCAACTTCTGTCACTATTCTTTGTTCAGAATTAATTACTTCATTTCTTCTTTCACACACTATTACCAAAGAAATTTGAGACTCAGTCTTTGCTATGACCTCAAATTWAAGGAGTTTTGAATATTTGCCTCCTTGCCATCACCTCACATGGAATGAACCTTACAACCTGAGTGTCTTAAAATGCTTATGACCACACATTTTTCTTTTTATTTTTAAATAAATTGTAATAAYCATAATCCTAATAATATTAATAGAATCATGAATGGTTTGGGTTGGAAGAGGCCTGACAGATCATCTTGTTCCAGCCCCCCTGTCATAGGCATGGACACCTTTCACAATGCCAGGTTGCTCAAAGCTCCATCCAGCCTGGCCTTGAACACTTTCAGGGATGGAGAATACACAACTTCTGTGGGCAACCTGTTCCAGGGCCTCACCACACTCACAAGTAAAAATTTCTTCCTAATATGTAATCTAAATCTACCTTGTGTCAGTTTAAGGCCATTCCCCTTTGTCCTGTCATTACATGCCTTTGTAATAGTAACAATAGTAAAAATGTTGCTGTTATTAATGTTGTTGTTATTACTGTTGTTATTAGAGAAGAGATTTGAGAAAGTCCTGGACATCCAGCTATTAAAAAAAATCTATATAATTGCAAATACTGATAGCAATTACTTAACACCAAATCTATTTTTAATGTATTTATAATGAGAATAATAACATAACAACGGGCAAATATCAATATGATTTTCACTTACACCGTAAGTAAAAGTTACAGGATTGATAGTTGTTGTGAATAGTATAGCTACATGCTCTTATTGAGGTCTGAATATGATAAGGACCACTTTATACTATAAAAAAAGTACATATCATAAATATGTTTATTAAAAAAGCCTTACTTGCACTGAAGCCCTGGAGAGTTCCTTTGTAGCATAAAGTGCTTTACTAGTTATCTTTACTGGAAATCCACAYAGTTGTGAAAGATTGCTCTTCATGTCAGAAAGAAAAGAGTTCACTACACTTTCTGCATCTGTTCTAGGGAAATACTGCACTGGCTGACTTCGAACGCAACTTAATGGATACCTGAATATGTGTTCAGGAATATACAACAAGTTTCTTTCAATTTCTATAATTACTAATCATCTTTGAGAAGAGAGTATGAGTTTGTCTGAAGCTTTTTAAAAAGGTGAACAAAAGCACTTATTTTCTTAAGGGCACGACGATTATAAAGTTACAGGACTTCAGYATGATTATGCCACACTAACCTATGACAGCAAGGACTACTCAATATAAGCAATCCTTAGTCTAGTCTTTCCTGCAGAAAAATTCTCTTTAGAAGAAATCTTTGTTGGCCACATTTTTTTCATAATTTAACTTTCTTTAACATCCCTTTCTTCTATATCAGCATTTAGAGAGGCATTATSGTGTTTATGGAGGTTATGAGGCAAATTGCTGTTTGACTTCCTATTAATGAATACTGAGATAGAGACTTGACTAAATATTTTGTTTCAATGTGCCTACTGAAACATTTCTCTACTGACTTCTATAAAATTATTAAAGGAGAAAAAAAATGTGGCACATTCAAAAATGAAAAGCARAGCTTTGCTGGAACTGTAGGAGAGGAAACGTAGCAAATACATTCTGAAAGGATACGTGAAGAACCTTTCYCCAATTGGTTTGAAGTAAACACTCAAGTATATTTTTGTCTCTTCAAGATCCTCAGGAAGAATATATCCATACTTGAAAAAACCAAACACAAATGTATATTACAAGGATAATCTCAATGGACACAAAAAAAAAGGGAGGAAAAAATGAAAGCAGTGTATGTATTTCTCACCAGACTCTTCCAGTGCATCTGAAATTCTTTATATGAACGGAAAGGAGATTCTGGAGGAATKATGTGGCTGATGTTTATGATCTGACCCATTTTCATGCTGTGCACAGGGAAAAAAAGAAAGGATGTTTAGCAAGGGTGTCATAAAATCCAGCTGAAAAAATACTGGTCTTTTGGGAAAAAAAAATCTTATTTTTGGCATTCAGAGTATCTGCAGATTATTTTTATCTTTCAAGAACTAATTCCTTTAGCTTACAAATTCATGACATAGCAATAGCAGTATTTCCTGAAGGATAGAAAAGAACCTGGCAACTACAAGTCTAATTTCTCTTACAACTCTCACTARCAGTGAACGTAGAACAAAAGCAAATATCATCATTACTTCTCTTATATTTAATGATGAAAAATCATAGGCAAAGATGGAGGTAGTTTGTAGCAAAGGWGCAAATACTTTTTCTTTAAATTGACACTTTCTGCTAAAATTGTACTTGAGAAAAATTGGTGCTCTTGCATCACAGAAGTAGCAYAAAGATTAGTAAGACTGAAACAATATTTAAAGGCATAGTTTATGATAAATTGATTAATTTTTCTCATTTTACATAATGCTGACATAATAAAACAAACTGAGAAAAGTTTCTTTTATGTAAAACAGACTGTAAAACAGAAGTGTTCTTATCTCTAGTATCAAATTCACAATTTGTAGGGCAAACATTCCAGTGTTTACTTCTGCTGAAATAGAAACAGATTCCTACCTTGGCAAAACATAGCACCAGTTACTTAATATGGAATGCTGCTGAATAACTGTATTTTCATTGCTGTCAAACAGCTTTACGGTGTTTACTGAAATATCAAAATCTACCAGCTTAAAACAGAAAAAAAGGTTATTAACAAATAATTCTACAGCAGTACAAAATTTTTTATTTATTTTTTATTTTCCAAAATAATTATGTATCAGAATACACTGAAACTTAATATATTATTATTATTCTACCAGCTCTCACAGACTGATTATTCCAGAAGATATTCCTATCATCAAATTGCACACTCTCTTATATTAGAGCAGAGCCTACATTTCCACAAGCTATGCAAGTACAAGGTTTAAAGTTTATTGAAATCAGTGAGATTTAAACTTTATTTGAAATGGTTTAATAAATAAGAATGAAGAAGGAATTTCTCAAATTGAGATCTGTCTCACTTCCACGCACAATTTTAAAAATTCAAATCAGAAACCCATGCATGACATTTTAGTAACTGTGTATGTCGCTAATCACATGCAAATACCAAACGAACAGAATTAATGGGACACGCAGTTTCATCCTCTGAGAAGTGAAAAAATATCCCACATTTTCACAATGTCAGAATTTGACTGTAGGGGACAATCAAAGACTGAGATTTGAGAAACATCTTATCTTTCTATGGTCTACCAGGGTTTTCATTTATTCACAAGACAAGAAAATCTGGTCATTTCYGTGTTAGAAAAGTACTGAAAGGATGAAGCTGATAACAAAGCCACATCATGATCATTTCCATCATTTGTCTGTGTCATTTGGGAACTGGATTCCTGTAGATAGATTTAACGTTTATGCTGTCCCAACCAGGTCTCAAAAGGAATCCTATTCTATTCCAACAATGAAGATTTTGGATCAGAAGTATTTATTTTAGAAGAAACCAGCAGCCCTGACAAATATGCCCTGCATGTATGGAYGTATTCACCACAGGCAAGAAGGCTGTCAAAAAAGGTGAGTTTTCAACTTCAAGCTAGATTTCTTGAAAAATGTATTAATTATGCTTAAAAGCAGCATAGTCCTGGCTGCTCCAGTATTTTGGAAGCTGAATAGAAATGAAGCAGACTCCATAATAGCCATGTACTTTGAATATGGTGCTGACAACTCACATTCAAAACTGTCTATGTACTACAGTGTGACTGAGAGCTTTCTAGAAAATACTGCCAGACTAAGGAAGCCTAGAATCATAAAGACACTTCACTGCTATATTCTGTTAGAATTTTTGAAAGCTCTCTTAGCATAGAATCTCARCTTTACAGTGCTGGCTAGACTGCATCAATATAGATACAGAATGGATGTTATGCTTTTATGACACAGATAGGCAATGAATATGGTTAATGTCTCAATGCAATCAGAAATGAGCACTTCTATCCCCATCGTGGTAATTGGAAGTCATCTAACAGAAGATGAAGATTAGTAAAACAAACAGAGTCACAGAAAATATAACTGGCATATACCTCAGGGGGTGGCAGCCGAATTGAGCAAGGCTCCACACTGATGCAAAGCTGTCTCTCTGACACATTGAGGTCTACAACTAAATAGAAAAAAAAAAAAAAAGCACAATGCCCTGTTTTGAATTACAGCTCATCTCTTAGACAGAAATCTAACCCAAATGTTTATTTAAGATAATTGTTAGTCAAAATGCTGTGTTTGAAAATCAAAAGGCTAGACTTTCTCAGCACAGAAATTAAAATAAGGTGCATTTTAACGGTGAAAAATAAAAATAATAATGAATTACTGTCATACAGTATGCCTCCCTAGAAACTCAAGGCTGGCTGTGCAACTGTGTGCTTGATAATCATATCCTTGACACAAAACCACTTATTTTCAAAGCAAATGTAGTTCCTACGACCATTTKCTGCACTGAGTCATTCAGCCCAGTATTATCCATCCAGGAGCTGTCAATAGGAAAGGCGAACATTTATTGACACACCTCCAGATTTTTCACTCAGCTCTAAGTTCCTCAGCAGATGTCCCTGGTGCAAATTTAGGCTTCAATATCYCCAAATGTAATCTTTAATTTTTATACTAGAATAAAAATATTACTTTGTAATTTTTGCAATAGCTAAACAGMATGTTTTGGGACTTCACTTTTGTGAAGAACAAACACAGTACGCACTGGACAGTCACTATAGCTCATTTTCCTATCTGTTACTATGGAACCTTCACATCACTTGAAAGACTTATATTTTGAGGCAAGTGCATTTAACTGCAATAATTATAACTTTAAAAAGGCAAATGTCAATCTAAGGGCTGTAGATTAATAGTAYAAAAATTATCTTCTTTGTGGGTAATTTTTCAAAGGCACGGTTGAGCTGACAACTATGACAGACAGAACATCCAGCAAGTGTATTTGGACAGAAGTTATTTCAGAATGAAAACCAAAGACACTGTGCTGGTAATACCAAGGTTACGATAAAATGAAAGTACGTAACTTTACCTTGCTCTCTCAAGTTTACTATTAACAGAATATTGTACTTACCAACAGCATTCTGCCTTCCTGAATGAGACAAAAAGTCTTTCCCTTAATAAATAGAATAGAYAGACATTATTTTTTCAGCCATACATCTAAAGTCTTTATGCATTAAAAAAAGAGAATGAGAAATCCCACAGTTTTGTTTGACACTGTCATGAATGCGGAAAGGTGTGCTCCTTCCAAGGAGAGAAAATCCCCTCTATCAATTACCTTTTCATAGGTATTATTTATTTGATGATTTTTTTAACATCTTCCATAAGAAAGAGAGATATGTAAAAGTACATTAGTGGACAGCAACTAACCCTCGCTTTTTCCTTCTAACCCTCTACTTCCAGCCACTACTCCTGAATAAACTGATTTCATTCTGACATCCTAATTTTGAAGATACTGAGAACAGGTTACTATTGTTATTGTGGCTGGGAATAAGATAAGAACATGCACACTTTTTCCAGCATACATTTGAAATTATACATACAATTACTCTACTTATTATAAGCATACTGCAATATCTGAAGTACATCTGGTTTTCCATACTTTGGTAATTCACATTTATACTACACAGCAGTGAGCAGAGAGATGTCAGGCAAAGGAACTGCCATCTAAAGAGATGGAGCTTGGTAGAAGTAGAGGGTCTGATAGAGGGTCTGTTTAGAAGAACCTGCAAACCATGTGCAGACGTGCCACTGCTAAAAGCATGAATCTAAAAAACATGCCAAATTTTTAGAAGACATTTACTGTCCAACAATATTGGACAATTGGGTTTGGAAATTACTCTGGTACATTGCATTCAGTTGATATAATTATTGGATCTATTACAAAGATAAGAAAGAAGATGAAAAGGTGAATAGCATGTCCATTCAGACTATTAATTTGAGTCATTGAACTTGGATAACAAAATAATAAAAGTGCAAATAAAGAAAAAAAGTAATAGGATAAAGGAATGAAACAATTTATTGTAATGAATGAAATAACTATGGAATTTAAATGATGGAAAATAAAAGCAACAATAAAGAACTGAAAACTAAATGCTTGATTCCTGACCCAAGTGAGTCAAATACCTTGCACCAAGAGATGACCAGCTTTGTTCCATCTGGGTGCAAGTTTGGCTGTAAGTGTGTAGGAGAGACAGGTTTGGAGAAGGGCTGGAGTAACTGTTTGCGGTGCTTCCAGCTAAGAACAGTGATAAAAAAGAAACATATATTTGTAATAATTCAACAGATTTTTTAAAGGCCTCAGTTAAAATTTAAGCATATAAACTGCTACTTCATCTTGGAACCAAATCCTAGTATATGCCACACTTCTTTAGGTTTCATCTTAGCTACAAGATGAAGTTACCACAGTATTTGACGTAAGCTTTTAGATTTCATGTGCCATCAAAGTAAAGTGCACTACAGTTCCTATAATGTCTTCACAGGGCTAATAGACTTGAGGAAAAGATTAACTGAACCTTCTGGAGTACATTACTAGATATCTAACTCTTTCCAGACAACAGGCACAACATCCAAAGCTGACATTACCTCTGCTGTCAGACTCAAGACCAGAGATATTTTCTGACAATCACAATAGATAAATGTAGCTTTGCTCACCCAGCAACTCCACTTGCCTACCTGTCCTGCAGAGCTTTCTCTTGACCATCAGCATTAGTCAATAAATTAATTACAATGGGTTAAAAAGAGTTAAGTAATATACCTCCAGRGGGATGGGCCCTTTCTGTGTCATTCTAATGAATACTGCAAGGAACTGCTTGGTACTATCAATCTGCTGGTGTTGGAAAACCTAATGTGACAGGTCACCTACACACATCAACATAAAGCAGTTCTGTAAGGTAAGCATATTTGAACASTGTATGTCTTACTAATCTGCATATGCATTTGCACTTCTTGGAACAAATTAAAATACACCCAACTGGCTGTGTAAATAAATTATGAGAACTACTGGCTTTGGTTACAATCAGTCTTTTGACTTGGCAATTTTAGTGCCTCCACACACACATTCATAAATCCCACAGATGTTGCATACTAGAAAATAGTAAATGGTCTAAAAATATATCAGTTCTCAAGCTCAGGGCTCCATTTCTTCTCTGTGCTTTTGTTTCCTTGTCCTCTACAGGCTGGGTAAACCCAAAGGTGAATGGGGAGACAGCTCAGCTGCCTAAACATTTCCACTGGAGAAGGGGGATGACACCAGAAGGAGAGCTGAAGGGCTTTGGCCCAAAGGTTGCCTTGAGGTCAATCTTCAAATGCCTCTGAGCAGGAGCAGGATGCCACAGCAGAAAAGAAATCTAGAGAAATTGCTCACAAAGTTCTTAAAACTATTGACTCTGACAAAGTATACTTACCATACCCCAACTCACAGGTCACAATTTGTCTATGGAGCAGACTTATTCACCCTTAAAATTGGCTTCTGTAGTGCAAACAGCATGGCCTATGAAAAATACTCATCTCTGCCAACAGCRATTGCAGACAAGTGTAACAGTCTTAAGAACTGTGTCATATTTCGGCACTTACAGTAGCTCCTTGTCTCTCYACATAGGCTTGGCATATTCCTGATTCATAAAATGGTATCTAAAAGTAACAGTAAAAAAATAAATCAAGTGTCTGATATTAAGACATATTTTAGCAAATYGTAAATTAAATTCTGGTAAAACAGACTTTGTCTTTGAAAAGCATGCAGGGGAACAGTTAAGCAAACATTTTATCCTGTGTTTTAAAGGAGAAAACTAAAACTAACTCAGACATTTTTCACAATGTAATCTCATTTCTRGCTAAAAATACATTAACAAGCAAGCCAAGCAAGGAAAAGACTGCCCAAAACAAAGCTGCAGAACTCTGCACCTGCTTCTCTCATTGCAAACTGGGTGGCATGTTACAAACAGAGTCCATTCCATTCCACAAATCAGTTCACCATCTGTAAAGGCCTTTTCATCAAAAGCGTAGAGGACTTAAGGTGTCCTCTACACCACAATAGGACAAAAAAAGAAAAGTTTGCTTTAAAAGAAAAGTTTTTATTTATCCTTGATCCTCAAACAAAACACTTCTTACAGAAATATACTGGTATGTGTGATGACTACAACTGACTCCTATCCATACTTTGGTTCAGGCTGACCAAGTAGCAACAGGCCTCACATCCTTGGGGTGAACTTGCAAGCTGGAAGTTCCTGGCTCATGTACAAGGGAGGGAAGGTGTCTTGAAAAATATTTCAAAAGGTGTTTTCGAAACCCGAAAGTACAAGGTAATCAAAATAGAGAAAGAGATACCAGCACTAAATCAAAGACATCTGTCTTGTCTGTACTATTGGCTAGGAGCCAACCATTTCACCCTTTAAATATTAAAATCAGGATGGGCCTCATCTGAGCACTCCCTGAATGCCAGACTGAAAGACAGCAGGCCTGCCTGCCAGGTGACTCTGAGCAGGGACTCTCTCAAGGTTAGAGATTCCATACCTGAAATTAAGAGATCCTTCCTTAGAATCGGAAGACCCCTTACCTGTGATCTGCAGAAAGTGACTGAAAGTGTGCTGAATTAATGCTAAGAATTACTAATCCATGCAGCTACTCACACACTATAAACATTCTGCAGATTATTACATTAAGCATGAACTGATGACCAAATCTGAGATGAAGACGGSATCTAGCCACACCTAGGCTCCAAAAAAGAATTCCAGAAAGGGGTCCATGCTGAACCTCATGTCTCCACAGGAGGGCCCTCTTGACTCTTTGCACCTCCRGTTTCTGAGTCACTCTAACTCAATTTTCCTTTTCACGTTTTTTTCCATGCAGTAATTATTAAGGCAATCCTTGCCATCAAACTTCCTGAAACTTGTCAGACCACTGTTAAAGCTTTGCTAAATTTCATCAAACTCATCGAACTCTGTCAAATTATTATTTTACCTCGTCAGAACATTGAGRTAAATGAGGTGCACTCTGCTCATCTGCAGCAGACTGTAACTACACATATTTATTTACACAGTGATACTGACCGCCATTACAAGTGAAATTTGATTCAGTGTCCCCATAACAGGTGCAGAAAGGATCTCTTGATACAGGAATAATAACTGTCTATAAAAAATGAGAAAGAAAATGAAAAAGTTTTATTTTCTCAGCTTAAATTTATTTTTCTCATCTTCTGCAAACACAATACATTACACKTTTAATCAGTTTCCTTCAGTTCAGTATAATAACTTGGGTAGTCCAAGTTGTTTGCTCCAGATAACCCACAGGGATCTAAGACAAACACTACAGACCTCTGGCACATAAAGGGAACTCTCCAAAAGTGTTCATTTTGGCAGAATTTCTCACTTCTCCCATTTTCTGTTAAASGGAATGACATAATGCTTGGTGGACRCTAAGGCRCATACATCTGCTTTCCAAATATTCTTTTCACTTAGTCTCAACCTACACGAAGCATTCCAGCTTTGCAGGTAAACAGATTAATTCTAAACATTTATTAATTTGAAGTATGTGGACTTGTTAGACTGTAAAACTTAAACAAAAGAGAAATTTAATTTTTGTTCCCCAATAGCCAGCAAGCCTCCTGCTCAAGAAAACTATTTTAAACTATTTTGCACTGTTTGCCACTGATAAGAATTTTGCTGATTTTGTAACAGTTAATTCTAGCATTGCTAATAAAATATTTGAATGAAAATCACTAGCAGCTTCTGAAAATAATAGCCCTCAAAACTCTTTACCTGCAAGTCTTTATCTGTGTACTCCTTGMCTCTGTTTCTGGGATCTGAGAATTCAGTGTTACTGTAGCAGCACAGAGTTTTTGCAGCTCAGGCAGACTGACAAAGAACAGAGACTGGTGTCTGGTGCTATTCATGATATATTGTTGATGGCCCCAAAGCAGTACCTGGGTCTTAAAATAAAAAAAAAAATAATTCACTTTTATAAGGCAGGTATTTGTTTAGAGAACTTTATAAGTATATGGTATTACGTAAATGAATAATTCATTGTTCCTCTGCTTGACAATATGTAGAAAATATAACATAATTTGGTCAGCTAAACCAGCCCAATATCCCTTTGTTATATGTAAAGCATTGTACTTGAAAAAATAATTATTTGCAAGAGCAAAAACATTCAGAGCAAAGACAGCAACAAAAGAATACAGAATAAATGTTATGTTCATTGTCATACGAACTGAACCCGTGTGCTGAAATTCAGACATTTTTGGAACTTCCTAAAAACCACCAAAAAGAACCCAAAGAACCAGAATTTAAGACTAAGAATATGATTCCTTCATGCAGTACTAATGAATCACATTTGAACAGGAATAATATGAAGTCATGTTACCCATCTTGTTGGGTGCCTGTTGTGTGCTCCTTTGCCTTGCAGCACAGGTCAGTCTCAATGTAATGAGTTATAATATTTATGACAAAAAAACCCTAACATTTCATTATTTGAAGGAAAAGATACCTTTTAACTGTAGCACCTTTTTCAATCCAAGCATTTCAAAGACAAGCAGTTAGAAAGTCAGGATCAAACACTGCACACCAGAAAAGGCAGGTTTAATATTTCTCCCCTCTCCAAAACCTAAAACACTTTTGGGAACTGTTCTCACCAGCACAGTGAGTACAGCAATAAATATTTTGATCCCGAACTTYATGAACTCACCAGGTATTCACCTGAAAAGCAATTTCGTAAATTGTGATTTAAAAACATTATGAACTAGAGAAACAATGTCAAAGATAACTTTGCTGTTCTGATTTTGCTTTACTTTCTTTACAGTGTAACACATTAAACAGATTAACCTCAGTCATATCCTAGAAAAATCACAATGTGAATGTTTTATGACTGTAATTTAAAAGAAAATAGTGTTTCCTTGCTTCTTACCCTTAAAGGAAAACACAGAAAAGCAAGTTTGTTTTTAAATGCCAGCCAAGACTATCACTTMATCAGAGAATTCCAAAAGCTACAGCTCAAGGGAAAGGACCATTTTAAACAAATGAGAAAAAAAAATCTTGTCCTTATGCAACCATGGAAAAAAAAAAAAACCTGAGTCCTTAGCTTTCAAACATTTATTGGGGATTTTTGTAGCAGAGATGTTGTAAAACACTTGCTGCAACACTCCAGTGCCCTGCTTGCTGTTTGAGGAAGACTCCCCTGTGGGAACCACTCGGTATATTAAGTCTAAGTTAAATCTTCCCAGACATCTTAAAAGCTAATGGGACAGAGTGCTTGCAAAAGGCTTCTCCCTTCAGGGGAGAGGATAAAGAGAAAAGTAGCAGTTAACACAGAACTGCCAGTTAAGAAATAACTACTGGTTATAAATCATCGGAAATAAACACAACTGCCTCCTGTACAAGAGTTCACGTGTGTGGGAGAAATTACACTTTTAGATGCCAATAATCACAGGACATGAACTTGAAACCACCACTGAGCTCCTGCTAAGCTGAACAGAGCATCAGACAGAGAATGGCTATCGCTGTTTTGTCAGAACAGACAAGCAAATCCCAGAGCTTGGCGGCAATATTTGCMATTTTCAGTAACCTGGAAGTCGAAATGAAGAGTCTTCTTATTAAAGCTGGGTACAGCACCAATTTGAGGGACAGTAACAACATTAATCTGAGAGACGGTAACAATTCTAATCTGAGGGACAGTAGTTTCTCTTACTGTCAGGCTGACTGAAAAGTTGAGTCAGGATCTGAAGACGGGGTGGCATTCAGTGAAGTACGAAGCTGCCCTCGCACTCAGGCTCAGGGTGCAGAATTTAAGCACCAGCTTTGAGGAACGGTGACAGGTCACGCTGGGTAAATTTTATGCCACAAAAATACCCCCCAAATCCAGCCTGTAATCACGCCAGAGTATATCCATGGGGCTATTGCTTCTGAAGCACCCATGATGTGTATGGATGGGACACAGGGATGTGGGGGCCCATACTGGCCTGAAATACAGACAAAGCCATCGAACACATCTGARACCAGAGTGAAGGAAACATGTTTTACCTCGAACAAAACTGAAGGAAAACAGGATGCTGGATTGGTGACAAAGCCTCACAGAGAAGGGGAAGGCACTGCTCCCTGTGCCCTCAGCCCGTCTGGCAGCAAATCAGGGTGGTGGCGCAGTGAAGCCTTGCTCCAAGCCCCGCGGAACACCTCTCCAAAGGCAAGGCGAGTGACTCCGGCGACAGCCGGGAGGTTTTGAGGAGCTGTGAGGAAGCTCCTGTGGCAGGGGAATCCCGCCGGGATCACCTCACGGGCTGCGCGGGAAGAGCAGCAGCCGCGCGCTTCCCGCCCTCGGGGATCAGCCAGGCTGTGTTTTTTCCCGGGCAGCCCCCGCCTGCTGGGACACCGGCAAGAGAGGTGTCCGGGCGGTCACAGCGCCGGCTGGAGCCCCGCAACAGCCGCGCTGTGTCTGGGCTGTGACTCAGCCCGTACTCGGCACTTGGGTTTGCCGAAGTTGCTTTCCATCGCAAAGGTGCTTTCGCCGGGCACAGGCRGCTCTTGGCCGAGCCGGGGCGCCAGCCGGCTTTACCACAGCGGCGCGAGGATTATTTCGTTTTGATGTTAGGAAAAAAATTCCTCACTGCGAGGGTGGTGAGGCACTGGAACAGCCTGCCCAGRGAGCYTGRATCACAGAGTCAGAGATTGTTAGGGCTGGAAGGCACCTCTGGAGATCATCTAGTCCAAGCCCCTGCTAARGCAGTGTCACCTGGAGCGGGTTTCACAGGAACACGGACGGGTCGGTTTGGAATGTCCCCAGAGAGGGAGACTCCACSACCTCCCTAGGCAGCCCCGACCAGCCCATCTCTGCCACTCTCAATTTAAAGATCTTCCTCGTGTTAGGGTGACGCTTCTGTTTTTTAGTTTATGGCCATTGCTCCTCGTCCTGTCTCACTGAAAAGAGTCTCACAGCTCCCGAAGTCTCTCCGCATAAGAGACGCTGTGCCTCATAAGACTCCCAAACATCTTTGTGGCCCTGCGCTGCACAYTCTCCAGCARTTCCTTGTCTTTCTTGTAMTGGAAGTGTTCAAGGCCAGGCTGGATCGGACTTTGAACAACMTTGTCTAGCGTCTCCATGGCARGAGAATTGGAACTAGATGATCTAAAAGGTCCCTTCCTACCCAAAAGATTGCAATGTGGCTCTACGTTGCAAGTTAGCGATCAGCTCGTCGCCGCGCATACCAGCAGCCCCACAGCCCGCCGCTGCCAAAGTTGGCAAATACTGGAAGGAGCAAGAGAAAAGCTGCAGCTCCGCAGCCCAGCACCGACAGCAGCGTGACCGAGCCCCACGGGGACTGTCCCGGCACCGCCGCCCGCCACGCCCCGCCCCGCCCGACAGCGGCGGATCACGTGGGAGGGCGGAGCGKCGGCGGAGTGGGCGGGGCACGACGGCAAAGTCCCGCCCCTGCCCCTCACGGCCGCCACTAGCCTGCCCATCTGCTTTGAGTGACATTTCYCTCCGCCAATGAGAGGCCGGCAGGGCCGGCGGGGCGGGGCGGCGGCGGGCGGTGATAGGGCCTGCGGCSGGGCCCGGGCTGGCGTACAGGGTCGCAGTCYGTGGCGTGTGCGGTGCGGGATAGGRTAGCTCAGGACATGGTGGGCTCCAACGAGACCGGGAAAGAGTCATGGCGGGGCCGCTACTACCGCCTGGAGGAGGTGCAGAAGCACAACAACAGCCAGAGCACCTGGATCATCATCCACCACCGCATCTACGATGTCACCAAGTTTCTGGACGAGGTGGGTGCTCGCGTTGCCGGGACGCTGAGGGCACCGGAGCCTCGCGGGGCGGGGCGGGGCGGGCTCGCCGGCGGCTCTCGGCTCCCCGCGCCGTGCCTCTGGCGGGCTCCCGTCAGCCTGCCCCGGCCCGCGGGTGCGGCACGGCGGAGCCGCCCTCGGTGCGATAGCGCCGTGGAGGAAGAGCCGCCAGGCGGCCCCGGGCGGGCCCGGGCTCCGGGCGCTTCCCGGGCTGGAGAAACCCGCGAGTGCCGAGCGCGCCGGCCACGCTGCCGTGTCTTTCGCTCGCTGCCCGCRCCCGCCTGAAACTTTCACCTTGGAATCTTGAGTTTCTAGTAAATGAGGACAAGGAGCAAAAACTGGAGTTAGTATGGAGGGCTTAGGCAGGCAGGCTGTCTGTGTGAATCTTGGATACCAAGAGTGGGGCAGAATCCATCTGCTTCTTGCTGTGGTGTGCCAACTGAGAGCAGAATTAAAAGTGAAGACTCAGCTGGGACCCAGAGCCACATTATCTTATGAACTAAAAGGTCAGCAAATCCTCTCTTCACACTATTATAGCGTGTGTTGCATTCCGGAACAAGAAAGAAACTTCACAAAGTGGAAGGAAAGTATCACAACATGCAGAATATCACAAGTCTTGGAGTTACTCTAATACTTATGGTTTGGTTTGGAAGAGGCCTTAAAGCTCATCTCATTCCAGCCTCCCTGCCAAGGGCAGAGACACCTTCTAGGTTATTCCCAGCCCCACCTAACCTGCCCTTGGRCATCTCCAGGGATGGGGCATTCACAGCTTCTGTGGGCAACAGGTGCCAATGCCTCATTACTGGCACTGTAAAAAATGCTTCCTTATRTCCTATCCTTGGTAAAGCCTCTTGGTCAGAGTGGTTTGTGTTGGTATCTGCCAGATAAGTGCATCTTGGGTGGCCTTAAGACCTGGGTGGTCTTTTTTTTTTTTTTTTTTGCAGGACATGGCATTATGTAGAGGCAGCCAGGCTCAGAAAATTAACTGAAGCATTCCACCAGGGTTTGTGTTCTCACTGCTGCCCTAATCTGCTTGGCGCAGGGATGCAGCATGGTGCTGCAAAGCTGCATGAGTGCAAAGTCTGGTGCAGAGCACTACAGTCAAGATCAGTCCCTTTGGTTRTGTTTTGTTGTTATTTTCTCTTCCCCAGTTAGCAGTTGATGTTTCTGATCTCTGACAGACAGTGAGCAGTTGCTATAAAGCATTGATAGTCATGGTTGGTGAAGAAACATTTTAGTTATTGGATTAAAACATTCTTCTGTAGAGATGCAGAAATAAAACTACCACAGATTTTTTTTCAGGAATTAAATGGATCTGGGATTTAGGTATTTTGAGTTTTCTCCCTTGCTCCCGTTATTCCCATTCTGCAAAGATAGAATCACAGAATTGATTAAGTTGGAAAAGACATGTGAGATTGAGTGTAACCTTTGACCAAACAAAGGTGTTTACTGTGTTTACTAGACCATGGTACTAAGTTCCATGTCCGTTTCCTTAAAATCACCAGGGACGGTGATTCTACTACATGCCTGGGCAGCCCATTCCAATGTCTAATCACCCCTTCTGTGAAGAAACTTTTCCTAAAGATAACCTAGTGTTCAATTAAAAAGTGTATGGTAGACTTACATGAACTCTTTCATGAATACAGTGTAGATRGGTAGAGACGTGACAGATTTCAAGCATCAGTRGTTCTGTAGCCCTTGTCTTGATTTTTCTGMTAGTAAACACAATTCAAAGGAGAAATTGAGCATTTTGCAAAGGAGGGTTGACAAGCAATTTTTCAAAGGCAATGKTGACACAGGTAGTGTTTCATTCTTAAGCTGTGTGTCAGCACAAATTGTTTGGCTTTTCAGCAAGGCAGATTGTGAAACTGATCTACTGACTCTTCCTTCATTATTTTTCATCTAGCTCTGCCCCTGGTTGTCTTCATCCATTAGTTATGGACATCTTTTTGGTTATGCAGGCAGAGCCAGTGTAATTATAGAAGCTCTGGAGGAGAATGCAACTTTTCATGTTGTAGTCTGCAAAACTGAATTAGCTCTTGGAAATTTGATCAGTTTTAATTGATACATAATTGTATTGCATGTTATCCAGGTTGAGGAGGTGGAAACAAGATCCATGCCTTAAAAAAAMCCCTAAACCTAACCTAACACAAGAAAAAAACCACTTGGTTGTAATGAGTTTTTGAGTTTTAAGTAGTTGCACAGCCTCTTCCTTCAGTACTTGTGGTGAAATTAATAATTATTAAGAAGCGCCATGTTTTGCAAATTTCTCAAAAAAAAATCTCATTTTCATCCTTCAGGACAACATTGATAATTCAGCAGCATAGCAGAAGAATTCTGTTTGTATGTATTTAGATAGTTGAGTTTTGGACTACTGGGTACACGTAAGTCTTGAGACGCTGTGGTACATGTAAGTCAGACTTCAACCTCACATTTAACAGCTTTTAATAGAACATGGCTGGTTTTGAGCTGATATTTTGAAGACTTTGTGATAATGAATGAGATATTGTTGAAAATAGTTACCTGAAGTATCTAAGTGAAGGTAGACTCCTAGGGAAAGTTTTTGGATATTTTAATATTCATTATATTGGTAATTTTTGTTATGGAACTCTTTGATTAAGATACTTCATAGGGCATTTTTTTCAACCTTTGTTTTGAATGCTTTTAGTGCTTAGTTGACTTATCAAGTGTTATGCTAATTATTTTGACGCTGTCAGACACTCTGAGGCATTTACATGTGACAGCTGAGGAGAAATTGGAGCTAGCATCTTGCAGGTTCRTTCCAGAGTACAGTAAACCCTTCTCAAACTGGGGATTATGTTAGCTGTTTCAATAGCATTATTGGTTAAACTCAAGTTTATTTCCTGCAGCTCCATGCAGGAGTAAAAAAGCTTAACATGTTTTAAGAATTAAATGTGGGCCACTGAAATTGATGCCCAGTAGTATTAAAAAGGATTCGCGTCTTAAGCATCACCTCACTCAAGCCCTTCCCAAGTGGTAAATAAGTATCATTTTACTGAGGAGTGTGGAAATGGGAGCAGCAGCTGAGCTCACCAGTCCCATTTATTAAATCAATAAGCCAGCTTTTCAGCTACTGCATTAATCCGTAGAAATATTTTCTTATTAATGATGAAGTGGAAAACTTTACTGTGTTTCAGTCTTGAAGACAGCTTGGATGCTCTTGTGCTTAATAAGTGAAAGTGTAGTGCTGCTTTTCACTCCATTACAGTAATTAAAGGGTGTACTTCCTCTGTCCAGCTGTTCTGTCTTCATGGAGCTTGTAAATGTTTAGTGGAACATGTTTGGTTTTGGGGAACAATCAGCCTCTCTGAACACTTGATTGAAGTTAGATAGTGAATGGGTTGGGGGTGGTGACATGCATGTGTTGATAGTGGCAGGGCTGAGTAGGAGTGGAGGCATTGCGTGGTGTGACCCATATTAGCTTGGCTTCCTAAAGGAAAAGGCTTGAAAAAGATAATTTGATCTTTTGAAATGTAGAGAAATGAAATATAGAACAAGTGCTGAAGGAGGAAACAGTTGGGTGCTTTGATACTTTATCCTTGGGGTTACTGAAGATTCCAGCAACTGCTTTCTCTTCTCTATTTTTTTTTTAGTGGCAGATATTGGAGAAAATTAATAGCTTGTTATTAATTCGTCTCTGAATGTTCTTTGGTTTTTCCAAGCCTAGGAGAAGAAATCAAGAGATTCAGCTTCTGGAATCCATTATTTTAAAGGTCTTGGGCAGAAAGACTATTCTTGAAACCGGAAACTTATGTTATCTCTGTCATTAAAGGCTGTTGAACCTGTGTTGTAGAAGGTTTGGGAAACCTTTTCCTAGTTTCCTTTTCCTAGGTCTTGTGGCTTAACCCTGGGGAGTACCAATGTACCACACAGTGGCTCATTCCTCCTGCTGCCCTGTGCACAGGGAGAAGAATTAGGAAGAGGTCAGTCTTGTAGGTCACTATAGGAACCGTTTAATAATTGAAATAAAGTATATGTAATAACAGTAATTGCAGGGATAAGGAGAGAGAGAAGAGTAAAACCCAGCAGAGACTAATGGTGCACCCATATGTGTGTTCACCACTCACTGATGCCCAGCCTGTTCCTGAGCAGTGATAGGTGGCTCATGGCTAACTCCTCCCAGTTTATGGATGGAGTGTGACCTYCTGTAGTATGGAATATCCCTTTGGCCAGTTTGGGTCAGCTGTCCTGGCTGTGCTCCCTCACTGGTAGAGCATAGGGCATTTAAAAAATCCTTGACATAGGTAAGCACTGCTTGGCCACAACCAAAACATCATTCGTAAACAGCATTATTCTCATGCTAAATCCAAAGCACTGTATTGTACCAGCTACTAAGAAGACAATGAACTGTATCCCAGCTGAAACCAGGATAAGGTCCGATGTAATTTAAAGGAGAATAGCTACTAAAAATGCATATATACACACAGCAGGATGTCATGGCTATATCTGTAGAGCAGATAATTACATATATGAATAACATTAAATATCATTAATGGACAGGTATATTGGCAATACTCTGTAGTATTTCCCCATAATATTAATAAAATAATCCCTCTAGTCGGGCTTTGACATCAATCTAATGTGCTAAACAACAGTAGCTGAGCCTATAAAAATGATTGGTCTGTGTCTTGATTTACTTGCTGTTGTGGTGAGGCTCTTTCAGGAACTTGTTTGGATTCTTTAAGCTAGGCAAAAGAGCTGACATGTATAGGAACATCTCTACCAGAGAGGAGTTTCTAATTCTGGAAACTAACTATGGTATGCATTTAATATTAATCTAATGCAGACTTTGTTTAGGTTACTTCAATTGTTGGTGGTCTCAGAATTCAGCAAAAACATTATTGGTAAATATTTTCTTTTTCTCCATAAGGTATGAACTTGTGCTTCCATACCACTTTTGCTAAACTTTTCCTATAATAGACAACTCCCACTAAATGTGTTTTGTAATGCTGATCAAATAAAGTTCAAAACAAATAGTGTTTTACTGTGTCAGGATGAAAAACGTTCTCTCCCCTATGTGGCAATAAGTTAAATTCATGCAGTGTGATGATATTGTGGCAGAGCAGCATAATGCCCTCCATGATTAAAGTCATGATCAGCTTGCACTGAAAGTTGCCTGTATCGGCACTTTTGGGGTCTGCCAGGGAACCATGGGAATTATTACAGCAGCACGTTGCAGTCTGAAGATTAAACCCAGTGTTAATGGTTCCTTAAGCTCTGATGAAGCTTGTAGGAGAATTTGAAAGTGTTTTGAGAAAGCACTTCTTGGCACTTTTATGTGAAACTCTGCAAGCTGTAACTGTTTTGTAAGTGAGGAAATGGGCACTGTTGTGGTTTAACCTCAGTGCCCTGTGGCCCTTTGCTCATTGCTTCCCCCAGCTGCTTGGTGGGATGGGGAAGGGAGTCAGGGGAAAAAGATAAAATGTGTGGGTTGAGATAAGAACTGTTTAATAACTGAAATAAAATAAAATATAATAATTGCAATAGAAAGGGAGACAAAACCAGATGCTAACCCATTCCCAGCCCATTGCCAAGCAGTGAGCTGCAGCTCCTAGCCAACTCCCCCCAGTTTGTATAYTGGGCATGAGGTTGTGTGGTATGGAATACCCCTTTGGCCAGTTCAGATCAGCTGTGCTTCTTCCTGCCTTCTTGTGCACCCTTTTTCTGGCAGAGCATGGGACACTGAGAAGTCCTTGTATTAGGGTAAGTGCTGCTTAGCAGCAGCTGCAGCATCAGTGTATTATCAACATTATTCTTGTACTGAATCCAAAGCACAGCACTGTACCAGCCACCAAGAAGAAAAGGGAACTCTATCCCAGCTGAAATTGGGGGAGGCACCCAGTGACTGGCTATTTCTTTTGCACTTCATCTAAAAGCCTAATCATAGTTTTCAAAAATACATTCTCAGAGAGAGATCTTCTTTCCGAGGCTCCTGATGTTTTACATGAGCAGACAATTTCTGTCCTGGAACTTAAATAGGTGATAGAAGTAATTTGGAGGACTCTTTCCAGACAACATGAAAATGGTATTGAAATAAGCAAGCATTTGCCTATCTGTCTTGCATAATAAAGCTGAGGTTCTCTGGGTGTTCCTTGCTCTGTCGCTGCCCCCTTTCTGCTTTTCATTCCTCTAATGCAGAAAGTGAAATGTGAGTTTATAAGACTGCCATTAATGGAGATCTTTGCTGATCTCCCTGAAAGTTAAATTGGACCCAAGATTTCTTTCCTCTGCTGTAGGAAGGCAGAGGGCAGAGAGTTTCAAACTAAGGTGGTTATGCTTTAATAGAGTCTTGAACTATGACATTGAGAAATCTGCATGACTGTAGCAAGGTTGGGGGGGGGGGGGGGGGGGGAAGGTGGTGTTCAGGATGAGGTAAGCTGGACTTTTGACCCAGATGGGAGTAGCAAGATTAACTTCTTATTTGCCTTATCTAAAACTTTCTAATGTGCTGCTGTTAGGAATTAGTCTGTGCTCTGTAGTGCTGGCTCTGTGTATGCTATCTGTTATGCATGTAACTTAGATTATTTATTATATTGGGAATGTCCTAGGAACAAGCTAGACTATCTTAATTTATCCTCAAAAGCTTTTTCGTTTCCCTTGAACCCCATTTTTACCTGCAAGAACTCTTCAATTACTTTTATCAACAGGATTTTGGTTTAGGAGTCACTATCTGTGTGGCCTTGTGGGCTTTCCAGTTCCAGGGTATTTTCATTAAAGTAGCGGTTCTGGTAGCAGGCTTTGTTTACCAGGCAGAATCATGAACAAAGGCCTTGTATAAACAAGCCTTGGGAAAGTCATCCAACCATGAAAGATGCTCATCTTTTGATAGAAAAGTCAGTTCTTGCCCTTTGTGTGAGACATTACAGTTGCTCTCTTTCATTAGGGGAGGTGAAATCTTTTAATTAATTGCATGTATTATGTATCAGTTGTTTACTGAGGGTTTGTAAATTCATGTTGTTAAGCAGAGGTGGCATCTAAAAGCAAAGTGTTTAGTTTCAAAGTACTTCTATCAATGTCTAGTAGGCTATTCATATTATCTGGTAGATGGTTTAAGTTTGGAATTCTGTGTGTGATTCTCTGCAATTAGCCTTGCTCATGTCATAAAAAAATATGCCAGTTTTCCAGCTGTACTGGCAGAAGTCTGGGTGAATTTGTCTACTTCAGCTGCTCTGTGATAGTTGGTCAAAGGGTTGGTAGAGAGGGTTGGTTGCAGTCAGAGTTTTGCCACTAGTGTGGTTTTATAGGCAGAGGGATCTGTTGCTAATTAACGTAAAAACTAGTTCTGCAGAGGGAAGCTGGAGTGCCTCAGTGGTGCTGCCCATGTAGCTACGTGATTGCTTTGTATTGGCACAAGGGAGGGATTTGGGAACACAAGTTAGTACATGATCATTCAGTGGCTGGGAACCTGCAAGCCATTTGTTTAAGTACTCTGTGAAGTAATTTTAATATAGGTAGATTTACATTGGTAGATATCCACTTGTTTGGCTGGATGGTGAATTTTTTTTGTGAACTAGTGTAAATCCTGTAATCTTGATGACTTGCTGAAGTAACTGGTATTTTATGCGCCTGTATGAGTGGGGTTTAGTTTCAGTGCAATGCATGAGTTTACATACTGCTTATCTCCTGGTGCTTTATGGGTAGTGTGACTTTGGGGCCTTTTGCTGCTTGTTGGTACCTTGTTTGTTAAGCGTTGTGCCACCTTTTCTGCTGAACTTGGTGCATATATTTTTCTATTTTGGGGGACACAATGCTTTAGCATGGTATTAAAAAATCCACACCCACATTGCTGAAGAAATTCTACGAAGATTTAGTTGAGGCAATGTCTGGGAATACTGGTTAGACCCAAGTTCAGCTTCTTAAGTGCCATTTCAAGGCAYTGAATTTGAGTTTTCCCTCAACTTTTGTCCAGTYCTTTTCCTAAATACATACCAAAATGGATTCAAGGACAGGATTTTGGTAAGCATGCCATATTTGCAGATTGTTTTCATAATCTTTGCTCTGGTTGTACTCTTTTAACCTTTTTTTGGCGCAGCTGCTGTGTCTAATCTCTTTATCAGTTGCTTAATCTTGCTTTTGCTTAGTCATGGTAGGGATCCCTTACCCTAATAACTGTGGTATCTTGGCTCTTTAGAAAGTGTTGTGTTGGGGGTTTTGTGCGTGGTTTTTTTTTCTCTTCAACTTCCTTAATCGGTTAAAATAAATGTCTGCCTTTAATGTGAAGGCTCAAATTTTGCAGTTCTGGTACTGCTGGAAACTCATAGTAATAGTTTACTTCATCTATATCAGCAAGAACTGTTTTTGTCAGAAGAGAAGCTTTGATAGGACATTAATAGGAGATAAATGCTAAGCTGAATTGCCTAGACTAGTAGAAATGTTTATGCCATTTCTTTAATCTGTAGGCTTTCTGGTCAGCTATATTCCAGGCATGATTACCCTAAATAGTAGAAATTTTGCTTATTTTTCATTATTTTGTATCCTGTAGTCAGAAGCATTAAAAATTGAATTGAGACTCCAAAGCCTTTTATCTCCTCTGCCACTGATAAAGTGTTAGTATCTATTCCATGGTCAGCTTAATCCAAGGCAGTACTAGTAAGTACTTTCAGCTTGCTTACATAATCATTCCCAGTGTTTATGTAGTACTTTCCTACTTGAAAGTTGAGTGGTGAATTTTTATGACATGTTACTTACCTGTTACATGAATGAGTAACTTGGAGCTGAGGAAATACACTGGACTGGAAGATGTGATAGATCTTGCAGTATACACAGGCAGAGTTATTTCGTAGATAGAAATGGGGAACTTCATGAAATCCCCACAGTGGTGCATCTTGAGGAAGAATAAAAGTTAATGGAGAATGGGGTTTTATGTTAAGGGAATGGTGATGGATTRAGGTATTAGAGAATACTGGGAGATGACTTCTCTGCATCTTAGGGCTTTTATCAGCAATGTGGTTTTAGGATCCCATAGTCTATGAAAACCAAAATACTATTCTAGGGTCTTGAATAAGCTTTCAGTTGTGCTTAAACATTTCCAAAGTAAGTAGCTTATTTGATTTTTGTAACATAATTTGTTTTGGAAAGGACCCTTGAGGTTATCTGGCTCAACCCCCAGCTCAAACCAGGATTAACTAGAAGGTCAGGTGGCCTTCTTGCCAGCTTGTTTTGCCAGTGCTTGATTGCGCTTCTTGTGAAAGATTTTTTGATTTATCTTCTTGGAATGTTCTTGCTGCAACTTATACCTTTTGGCTTTTATCCTTCTGCTGTATGAAGCATTACTTGGATTAAAATACCCATTTCCTGCAGAAGGGAAAAAGCAAGATGTAACTTCAGATAATAGTTGGGCTGTTAAAATACAGGCTGATTCCACACAACATTCTAAATGCTTTAGTTGCAAGGAAACTYTTGCCTCTAATGGCTTCTTTGCCAATGAAATGAAGACTTAGCTTCCTTGGTTTTGGTTTCAGAGAGTACGTAAAGATCTCTAGCTGTTCAGAAAAGCTTACGTTTGCTCTAGAAAGTCTAGCAGCTGATTTTGCTTTTTAAAAAAAATGTAGAAATGTAAATTGCAGAATTTCCTCTTCTAGAATGTGAAATGTGTTTCAGTAACAAATTCTAACTCATTAAAAATTGCAGCACCCAGGAGGTGAAGAGGTCCTTAGGGAGCAAGCTGGAGGAGATGCTACTGAGAACTTTGAAGATGTTGGCCATTCCACAGATGCAAGGACAATGTCAGAATCCTTTATTGTTGGGGAACTTCATCCTGTGAGTATATGAGAGTGTCCTTACTTTTGTGTTACTATACTGTTTTTGTATCTAGTTACTTGTCTGGTGATTACTTTAAAATCAAGAAGAACTACTAGTTTGGCTGGATGCCAATCCTACTATTTGTGGATGGACCTAGGTTTGAGATAGTTCCCCCAATGTGAAGGAATTTAATTAGTGTAGCATAAGCATGGACAATTTTTTGGTGATTTAAATTGTCTTACAGCTTACATCTTGAATAAACTGAATTGGAATAATTTTTGGTGTACCTGTGAGCTTTATAATGAAACTCTGTAACCCCTGAAGGTAGTATGCCAGAATGTCTAGACCTTTTCTCGTGTCAGTATGCAGTGACTACTTAACAATCACTTTCATGCTTTCACCATTGTAAATATGTATCTGCTAGGCTTCCATCTGGATCTAAAAGTGCAATCCTGGCTCTTCATATTTATGTTTAGAAAATGGTTGTTATAAGCTTTGTATTTCTAGTTTGTTGCTCTATCTTCCCCCCTGTCTTCTGCCATTTTTAGCTGTACCAGGGTTTCCTACCTGAAGTTGTTAGGGCTTTTTGTGATCAGTTCCAACTGGATCATCTGTCACTTTCTCTTTTCTACCCTGTCCATACCATTTCCTGTACTTCTAACAAGCACCTTTCTGCTGTCTCAAGTTTTGAAGGATTTTGTTCTAGCTGTAGAGTTGCTGCCTTGGCTTCCTTCTGCTAGGCCATAGTTAAAGTCTCCTGTACCTTGCCAGTTGAAAACCACTGTTTAGAGGTTCCGGCTGCTAGTTTGCCCATCTGCTCTGCTTTACTGCCCATTCCTGCCTCTTCCTCTTGTTTCGTGTGTGTTTTGTCTTACCTTTGGGCTAAAAATCACTATCTTGAATAGCCTATTTCACAGTAAGTTTCTCAGTCTTGCTTGTCTCAGGTTGTCTCTTGATAGTGTAGCTTGTCCTGATAAGAAGTGTTTCAACTCTGATGTACATTTGTGGCTTTTGCAGGCTTGCCATCTATTTCTGATGCCACTAATGTTGTTCTTAACCTGGCTGTCAGTCCCATTCTTCCTTGTTTGGCAAGTGCCTGTTTTCACTTGATATGAAAACAGCTTGGTAGTTTAAGGTACAAGTACAGCATTGACAGGTTTATAAACTACTGGGCTTTTTTGTAATGAATGTGACTGTGCCAAGTAGAACTTTGAGTTTATGAAAGATTCATAGAATTTGGGACCTTTGGTCCAGTGGACATTGGACCGCAACTAGTAAGTTGGCTTTGCCTGATAATAACAACTACACTAGGTAGAATTAATGATTGCAATCAATGTATAAGATAAGGTTATGCACTCTCTAGAGAAAAAGCAAAGGCAAAAACATGGGCACAAAAAATAATGAAATTTGTTGGACACTCAGGTTTCACTTCTTTGTTGCATACTGAGAAGTATTATTTAAGGAAGTGATCTTGTTTATATTAGCTCAAAATTAATCACTGACATCTGTTATCTTGCAAGTCTGTTTTTACCTAGGAAAACATACCTACACATTAACAGAATGAATTGCAAGCTGAATTAAGTGATAAATGGTGTGGGTTTGATTTTGTTTTTAATGCTTTCAGATTTTGTCTAAATGTTTCTTACTTGTTTTTTTCTTTTGCAGGATGATAGATCCAAGCTTCAGAAACCGACGGTAAGTGTGTTTCTTGAAATGCCACATTGTTTCTTGTAGGCATTACAGACAGTGTCTGTATGTAAATGGTATACCTCTAGAAATAGTTAAGTTTAAACATTATGTTTCAGGCTATAAAACTCTTAGACCTGTTGATACTGCTTCAAATTATTCTTCCTCTTAACTGTTATTTTCTTTAATTTGTGTGGCTTCATACCAGGAGGTTACTAAGTGTGGTGGCATTGTAGTATAGGAAAAAGGTGACTAGAATCAGTCAATGGTCTTCTAGTATTCAGTTTAAGGAAAAAAAA